CGTCTAGACTGGACTATTGCAATGGTTTATTATCTGGGTGTCCAAATACTTCTTTAAAACGTCTTCAGTTGATCCAAAATGCTGCTGCCAGAGTCTTAACTGGAGTTACTGGGAGAGATCATATCTCTCCAGTTTTAGCTTCTCTCCATTGGCTCCCTGTCAAATCCAGAATAGAATTCAAAATCTTACTTCTAACCTACAAAGCGCTCAACAACCTAGCTCCATCTTATATTACAGATCTTATTGTTCCATATTTTCCTAACAGAGCACTTCACTCTCAGACTGCAGGTTTACTTGTGGTTCCTAGAGTTTACAAAAACAGAATGGGAGGCAGATCTTCCAGTTCTCAGGCTCCTCTCTTGTGGAACCAACTTCCAGTTTCTGTCCGTGAGGCTGACACATTGTCCAGTTTTAAAACTAGGCTGAAGACTTTCCTTTTTGGTAAATCCTATAGTTAGGGTCGGCTTGGGTTTCCTGAGCTGTCCCTTAGTTATGCTGCTATAGGCTTAGACTGCTGGAGGACAAACTGACCACAATTTTCACTCTGCTGCCGTCTTTACTTACTCTGCTCAACCTGTTTGTATTTGTAATTATTTTTTCTATCCTTAACATGCGTTTTTTTCTTTCAGATACACCGGGACCTATATCTGGACCTGGACCTATATCTGGACCTGGACCTATATCTGGACCTATATCTGTACCTGGACCTATACCTGACCTGGACCTATATCTGCACCTGGACCTACACCTGGACCTATATCTGCACCTGGACCTACCATTCTGTGTTCGTCTGTCTCTCCTTCCTGTCCTCTGAACCAGCCGGTCAAAGCAGATGGTCTCTTGTCCTGAGCTGGTTCTGCTGGAGGTTTCTTCCTGTTAAAGGGAGTTTTTCTTTCCACTGTCTCCACTGTGCTTGCTCAGGATGGGAGACTGCAACGAAGCCAAGATTCAACTTGTCTTCTGGATTCCTTAGATAGAGAACTTTACTAACTGGTTTTTATGTGAATGTTCCTGTAAAGTCGCTGAGACAACTTTGTTGTGATTTGGTGCTTTATAAACTGAACTGATTTGCTTGGTCCATCCTTTTAATTCTGCTCGCTGGTTGTCGAGTCGTGGCAACAGGTCCAAACTCGCCAAATCCAGGATTTATAATCCTCTTGGGGAGTTCCTGATCTTCTTTTAGGTCTTCTCTCGAGAGGACGTGATCAGAACTGTTGAAGTTCTTGCCACCTGAGCTGACTCCATTTTGGACCTTATCTCCAAGTCTGAACCCGGTAATTTCAGCCGCTTCTATCGAGGACAGAGGTCCTCAGTCCTGGAGGGCCACGATCCTGCATGGGTTAGATGTTCCTCTGCTCCAACACACCTGATGTGAATAAAAGTGATTACCGGGCTTCTGCAGAACCTGAAGACCTGCTGAAGAGCAAGGGAACAACTAGAACAGAGCTTTGCCTTTTGACTCCACTCCTTCACCGTGATGAACCGGAGCAACATCCCCATTACTGTAGGTTGAGGCGTGCCGGTTCCCAGCGTGAAAAAGTTGAAACCATCTCTTGACTTGCTCCTCGTGGGACATCCAGTTTTCAACCAAACTCCTCATTCTGGTGAAAAATAAAGAATAATTCTGCCGGATTTATAAAACGTTGCTCCGCTCGTTCACCGATCCCGTTTTATAAAACGCCGATCCCGTTTTACAAAACGCTGACTGACCCCCCCCCCCCCCAGAAAAGTTAGGCAACAACAAAGTTAGACCACATTTAATAAAAAAAGTTTCAAAATGAATACATCTTTAAAATCCATTCATTAAAAAACACAAATCTTATTAATAGTAAAGACAAAATCAACCTGCCGGTTATTGTTGCTACTTTGAATTTGGCAACAACGCACTTTAATTGAGCAACGAGTGGATGAAGGTTAATGAAACGGATATTTTACTGATTCTGGATCGAGACGGAGCTAAAACTTTTGTCGTTCCTCCGTTCTTTTCCCTCGTGGACAAAATGTTTTATTGAAAATTCCATTCTTGTGTTTTGGATAAAACGTCTTCCATCGATGCCAAAGATGTTCGGAAAATGTGTACTCTCTACTAAAGCTACTTACTGAACGTGTTGGTGGAGAAATAAAACGACAACCGGGACGTCAAAGGAAGAGCAGTTTGGGGAAGAAGCCGAAATTGGACGTGAAAACAAAAAAAAACTTTTTCGGCTGTTTTCCTGGAAACTATAACCGATGAGACCAACGTGTTCCGGCTGCTCTTCAAACGTCTCAGACTTCAGCTCTTCCATGATTCAAGACACATTTATTCTCATATTTTCACCTAAACGTCGACTCAAACATCAGCCGAACGTAGGACAAACACGTCGGCTGATTCAGCCGAATGCTTTGAAAGGTGAAATGCTGAAATTTGAGCCGAACATCCATAAAACGACTTGACAATCATTTTATTTGAGCAGAAATGTTTGACTATAAATCAAGAGTAGCCAAGTCTTTTAAAGGATACAGGCTGGATGAGAACGCAGCCGAAACGTTCACGTTGTTTGTTCAAACGAACCGATGGTGTGACGATGTGAATAAATAGCCAAAAATTAAAGAAAAAACATTTAATAAAAAAAAGGGAGGCGTAATTCATTGTTAGGGTTGAAGACAGCAGAAATGTTTTCCAGTCTTTCTGAATAATTTTCAGAGGTAAAGGAACGATGCGTTTGTTAGCTTAGCATCATGAGCAGAACTACTAGCATAGCTAAAATGTAGCATAATTTCACCCTCTTTATGTCTCTTAGCAATAACAAGTGTCCAACAGTCTCATGATCACATTAGGTTGTTGAAGGGACAGCGAGCTTTAGCTTAGCAAGTGACGTTAGCAACCTGCCCGGTGTCAATCTTTGCGCTAAGCTAAGCTAATTTCTCAGTGTTTAACAAAATAAGGCTCAAACGTGCACATAATGAAGGAAACTTTAAAACAACAAACCAAAGATGCAAATGACTTTCTCGTATACCCCTGATAAGAAATGTTAAGTGCTAACAGTGTCTGTTAGCAATGTGGCAGCTAGGTTTCAAATCTGGATGTAGCAGGCTCGTGTATTTGAAAAAGAAAGTTTTTTTTGTTTATGAATGACTCGTTATAAAACCGCACATGCAACCCATTTGTCTCACAACACTCACACAGTGTACAAAACACGAACATCTGGATACGTTTCGGACTATTTATAAACAGAGAGCGCTCGCTGCGACTGCTGTTAGCGGCTGTCACTAGCCGCTGCCGTTAGGTGCTGTCGTTAGCCGCTGCCGTTAGCAGTCCATGTTAGCAGTAGATGTTAGCCACCGCAGTTAGCTGCTGCCGTTAGCTGCTGCCGTTAGCGGTTGTCGTTAGCAGCTGTCATTAGCCCCTGCTGTTAGCGGTCAATGTTACCGGCTGTCGTTAGCAGCTGTCATTAGCTGCTGCTGTTAGCGGTCAGTTAGAGGCTGTCATTAGCAGCTGTCAATAGCCGCTGCTAATATCGGTCGATGTTAGCGGCTGTCATTAGCGGCTGTCATTAGCCGCTGCTGTTAGCGGTCGATGTTAGCGGCTGTCAATAGCAGCGGCCATTAGCCCCTGCTGTTAGCGGTCAATGTTAGCGGCTGTCATTAGCAGCTATCATTAGCTGCTGCTGTTAGCGGTCAATGTTAGCGGCTGTCATTAGCAGCTGTCATTAGCCGCTGCTGTTAGCGGTCAATGTTAGCGGCTGTCATTAGCAGCTGTCATTAGCCGCTGCTGTTAGCAGTCGATGTTAGCAGTCAATGTTAGCGGCTGTCATTAACAGCTTTTATTAGCTGCTGCTGTTAGCGGTCGATGTTAGCGGCTGTCATTAGCAGCTGTCATTAGCAGCTGCTGTTAGCGGTCGATGTTAGCGGTTGATGTTAGCAGCTGTCATTAGCAGCTGCTGTTGGCGGTCGATGTTAGCGGTCGATGTTAGCGGCTGTCATTAGCAGCTGCTGTTGGCGGTCGATGTTAGCGGCTGTCATTAGCAGCCGTCATTAGCCGCTGCTGTTAGCAGTTGATGTTAGCGGTTGATGTTAGTGGCTGTCATTAGCTGCTGCTGTTAGCAGTTGATGTTAGCAGCCGTCATTAGCCGCTGCTGTTAGCAGTTGATGTTAGCGGTTGATGTTAGCGGCTGTCATTAGCCGCTGCTGTTAGCAGTTGATGTTAGCAGCCGTCATTAGCCGCTGCTGTTAGCAGTTGATGTTAGCGGTTGATGTTAGCTGCTGTCATTAGCAGCTGCTGTCATTAGCAGCTACTGTTAGCGGCCATTCAAGTGTTGGCCTGGAAAGGTGAACCGAGCTCCCTCCGTCAGTTCGTATATTGGCACCACGGACAGTATATCACACACAAACTGCATATCTTATAGTAAAGCTTAAAAATGTCTCACATTTAAAAATCTCTTAATTTTCAAAAAACTATAGACTCGAGAATAAAAGATCTCTTGTTGAGATAGAAACACTCTGGGGTTGTTGTGCAATACGTCTCGTGTGGACAGCACACACAAAAAACCATGAACTTAGTGAGTTTCTGAGACTCGGGCGACGTCTTCAGACAGAACAAGATACGTGGAGGTTTCAGGGCACACAAAAGTCCAACTTGACTTTTCCTCTCCGTCCACTGATGCACTGAAGGACCCATTACCACCAGACTTGGAGAGGTCGTTCTTTGCACCAAGCCTTGGCAACATAGAAAAGAAAAAGGAAAATGGCACGTAGTCCAGCCTGAGCACGTCATTTGTTATTCCTAGTGTTTCGAGGCAGCTGATCTGTTAAAAAGTCTTTATTCCCATCAGGCAGTGACGTCTCCGAAGCTCCCGAGTTCCTCGTTGGGTCGCGGTCTTAAAAAGGGAACAAAATCGCTTCAAAAAGGATTCGACTAGAAGCGCCGCAGAGTTCTTCGGAGAAACAAAAGTCTGAAATGCTTTTACTCCATTGGAGGGTGTGGACGCCCCCCCACCCACCCCTGCGCCTCCACTGCAGAGCGAAAAGGGTCCTGAGCACCGTATAAAGCACTGTGATTGGTCGGTCAGTTACTCCCAGCGCCCGTCGTCCGCGAACAGCTGCGTGTCCCAGAAGTCGCCGGCGGGCGTGTGTTTGTGGTTGGCGTGGTGCTTCCTGTGGGCGCTGCAGTGGGCCGGCGCAGGGGAAAGTGTTTGTCAGTCCATCTCGAAGTTGATGAGTTTGTTGCGCGAGCGCGGGGTGTGCGCCGTGTTGCGGCAGCAGCAGTGGGCGCACACCAGGCCCAGGAGAAGGGAGAAGAGGCCCACACCTGGAGACACACGGCCAAATAAAAAATTAGTAATAAAAATACTTTACCTCATCGAACTCTTGGAAAACGATCGTTAAATGTGCAACTGAGCTTTGGAGTCGACCCAATTCAAGATGGCCACCAACTGACTTTACAATAAGAACCGAAAACGAGACATAATACGCTCGTCGGTAAACTATGATGCAACAACCTATAGCAATGGCCCGGACAAACAAAGACCTTGATTTAACGTTGACCTTGATTTGTGACCCTCACCTCGGAGCTGGAGGGACGCAAGGATTACACAACGCTCGTCTAGTGATGATGCGTACGTGAAGTTTCATTAAATGATTTTGAGCGAATCAGAATTTACGGAATGGCTTTATCAACCCCCCCAACCCATAATCCAAGTCCTACCAGATCCAGTTGGATCTCTGTTTAAAACTTTGACGTGCATTTCGGTGGGCGATACACTAAAAACGTTAGTTTTGAACTGAAAGCTGTGCGGCGTGTCCTGCTGGCGGTTATGATTAGAGTCGGCCGTCACAATAACAAATGTTGCCGAGCGATTGTCTCAGAAATTACTGAGATAAACGATAATATTGTTTGAAATTTGTCAATAATTAGTAATTATTGTCAAATTTAAGAAGAAATGTTGGTTAATTTTTGAGTGTAGTACCTTTTTTTGACCACCGGATGGCAGTATAAGGCAGTTTGAACCGAAGGATGGATAGTGAGGGAGCGAGCAGCGTGTCTCTTTATGAAAATGGGAGGGAGGCCCCTTGACGTGCCATGGGTTGTCTCTCCTTCCTGTTTTTTCCCCCTTGAGGTCGGCCTGTTAGCTTAACTCGTAGCTTAGCTGCATTTAACGATCAAAAAACACGATCGTTAAAAACGATTTTAAAGAGAAAAGAGAAAGGGAGGGGTCAGTGAAGAGACCGGAGTTGAGCCTTTTGTCATCCAGTGCCTTCAGTAGCAACAGAGACACGAAGAAATGATAAAGCCGATATATGAAAATGAGGTTGATAATTTTCATTTCTTGTGCGATTAATTGATTTATTATTTATCATGACAGCCCTAGATTAGAGCTCAACCGATATATCGGCAGGGCCGATATTTTAGGCCGATATAGATGCTTGGGGACATATCGTATCGGTGATAACTGTCTCATTAACTACCGATATAAACACGTCTAATTTTCACCCCTAAAATGCTGAGAACAAGCCATAATTGTACGATGTGTCCAGCAGAGGGTGCATGAATGCTACTTTCAAGTCACTGCCGTTGATTTTAAGTTTCACTTTCAGCACAGCTGAAGCAGCGAGCAGCTAAATACCGTGAAGCTTATTTTGCTGAACAGAGCATGGGAAGTTTATTGTAATTGATCTGTAAAATAAATCAACAATAACGCACGTTACCAAGACCGTTTCAAGAGTTCAAGTGTTAAAAATCAGGTTTAAAAGTAGCGGTTTTCTTATATTCTTGTGGTGGACAAAGCTCAACAATTTCCAGCCAATATATCGGTTGTCGCTTCGCCTGCACAGTATCGGTATCTGCGAAAGCCAAAATTTCCATATCGGTCGGACTCCGGTTACGATTGTAAAGGCTTTAACTGCTTATTCTGCACTTGCTGTTGGAACTGTTTCAACACGAACGCTTCGCTCATTTTCTCATCCATGGGTTTTGCCACTTTTGTGAAATGACTTGGACACATTTGTTTTGGACTTTTCACGAGATTTCCCACAAATGAAGGCGCAACGGTTGGATTACCCAGTGAGGCCGCTGCACCGTAGAGGAGGGGGAACTTTAGGGAGTCCCAGACTGGAAGGAAGGAGAACCAGAAGAAAATTAGGAATTTAAATTTGTGCAGCACATTTCAAAGCCTGCTGAAGGAGTTGAACGCTCCTCACCTGCAAACTTGACAGAGAGGAAGACTCGTCCAGACGTCAGCGCCCTGGCTTCAGTCCAGGCTCTTGTAGAGGTCGACAGGTACCAAGGAGTGGCCTCGCAGTAGTACTCGCCGCTGTCACTGAGAACCAAATGGCACACCGGCGTTACAGAACAACGGGGAAAACCGACAGAGTGCATTGAACCCGTCACTTTGGCCCACTCACCTGTCCTGAGTGCCGTAAAGGTTAAGAAGGTAGACGTGGGCGTTTTTGCGCTCGATTGAAACGTCGCTGGACGAGTTCCGGTGGGTTTTCCTCACGATGCCGAAACGGTCGATGCTGGCGACCTCGGACGTCGTTGGTCCTCCGCGCAGCCGAGTGAAAAACCATCTCACCTCATACGTCAGGTCATCTGAGAGGAAAGAACACAAAATGCATCTCGTGTTACTCATTTGGAATCCAGTTCATGGTTAAAACGTGGTCTTCCTGAAACATTAGGCCTAACGAGACACTTTTCTTTACTGGACTTGATTGTAACCAATAATGAATTTGCAACTAAAGAATTTCGTGTAGCACAAAAGGCCAAATGTTTCATCATTTTCTGTGATATTAGTTTAGTTTTTTAAAGCTCTGTCAGCTGCTCGTCTTATTTGGTCCCATTAAAAGAATACTGCTGATGTTGGAGTCTGGAAGTGAAACGGGCTGGGTCTTGGAGGAGAAGCTCGTCGGTGAGCGCCTGGTGACCGGGTCTCTACCAACGGGGCCCAGTTGGACTCAGCCCAAAGGAGCAGCATGGATGACTTCCTGTGGACCCACCACCTGCAGGATCGTAGGGTGTGCTCCAACTACAGGGCATCACTCTCCTTAGCCCCCCGGTAAGGATATTCAGGGGTACTGAATGAGTCCGATCGTTGGTTGAACCTCAGATGCGGGTTCTGTTCTGGCCAAACAACATTGGACCAGCTCTTTACCCTCCCCAGGGTCCTCAAGGGAACATGGACGTTTGCTCAACAAGTGTAAATGTGTTTTGTGGACTTGGACGAGGCATGAAACCGTGTTCCTCGAGGTACATTCAGGAGGTGAGTATGGGACTGGTGGTTTATTGTTACTGGCCATTCGTTTGGTTTGGTTCCCATTGCCGGCAGAAAATCGGAGCCCTTCAGGGTCGGGGTTGGACTGTATCAGGTTTGTCTGTTGTCACCAATTCTGTTCAGAACATGGACAGAATTTCTCGGTGCAGACAGGGAGTGGAGGGAGTCCAGTTCGGTGGCCTCAGGATTCCAGACAGCTTCATGTAAACTAAACCCAACAAACTGCAAAAGCTGTTCAAATAATAAATATGTTCCTGTTAAAACACGACTTCAAGAAGAAGAACGAACCGTTAAAAAGCACCTTTTATTTTGCTTATGTGATGGATTTCAAGGTGCTGAGAGATCAGGGAATAAAACGACACGAAAGGTAAAAAAACAAAAAAGGCATTCAAGTACCGACGAGGTGAGATCAAACACGTCTTTCTTTATAAAATCTCTCCAGACGCATGAATTATTCCAATGAATCAGCTGATGGTCCTTCGACCAAAGCATCACAAACAGATTGACAGAAAGGTTAAAATCCATGTTAATAGACGCTGTTTTTGGAAGAAATCTCATCATTTCCAGATGCAGGAGGTGGGAAGGGACACGTGGAGCGTGAGACGGGCAGGAGCACAAACCCGTCATTAGTGTGTCAGGAGGAGACGGACTATTAGCGCCGCTCGGTTTCCACTTGGAGACGGGAGGAGGAACCTCGCCGAGCCCGAGTCAGCTCAGCCGTCCAGGTGACAAATGGAAGACGGAGCAAATAAAACAACAAGAGTCCGATGAGCGACAAACAGAAGAAGAAACAAGGAGGAGGAAGACGAGGGAGGCGAAGGATGGATGTAATGAGGAGCAAGAGGAGAGGGGGTGACTCACCCAGAGCAGAATAATGAATCACTTCTCAATTTCCCCCCTCACCCCCGCCCCTGTGATGGTTTTAATATTCAAGTGCTGCATCATTAAAAATCTGTAGCAGCACGAGCGGCGGCAGTTACAACTCTGGCCTCGGACGATTTGTCTCCGCGCGAGACACGGCAGAGACAAATCCTCCGACCGGGACACGTCTTATCAAGTTTGACCGAGTTTCCTTTCATAAAAGATCAGTTCTGCGAGAAGTTCGTTAAAAGATAAAGGTCACAAGTTTAACTCGATCCATTGGTTTTCTTAAGAACGACATTTTTATTTCAGACGTATTTTAGGCAAGATTATATCGATTACACTAAATATATAGTTTAAGTATTAAGAGTACCGCATACACGCTCGCTAAAGTATACAGCAATCTGTAGCAATGGTTCGGACAACCTTGTACAACATTTGACCTTGATTTGTGATCTTGACCTTGGAGCTGGGGTGATGAAACGTCTAGTGATCGTGCTTACGTTTGTGAAGTTTCGTAAAATTATCTTGAGCGGACCAGAAGTTGTGGGCGGGACAAGAGAAATTTTACGGACACGTGATGCCAGAATACGTCGACCTTCGACGGGCGAATAAAAACGTCTCAGATTAATTAGTCGAGTTAAAACGGGACGACTTGTAAGACAACCGTTTTATCTTATTAACGGTTATTTTGTACTAATGGCACCCGGCCGTGACCACGTCTTACGCTTCTTTTCCAGAGTGGGTGAACAGCTACTGTCAAACCGTCGTCGTTCTGAGGCTAAAGTCAGTTTTTGTTTTAATGGTTTGCTCATTTCTTTAATTTTTAGCAGAAACACAAAACAGGCAGCGGTGGAAGTTGGAGATTAGCGCTCGTTACGTTTTCCGTTTCTCTGTAAATGAGCAGAATTCGTCGAATGAGAAATCTGAAGAGCATTCCCCACTTCCTTGGGTAAACTGCTCGCATATTGAAGTATGTACGGTAAAATACCAGAGAAATGGAGTTGAACTCTGACAATGCTAACGGCTACGCTAACAGCTATGCTAACGGCTACGCTAGCGGCTAGTCTGAAGGGGGCAAACCGTTGATTCCAGATGTCTTTAAGTAAAATCTCAAAGTTCTCAGAGCAGTTCATGCAAACATGGTTGAACCTTACAATATAATGGTCAAGCAGTGCTACAGCTAACTGCCGCCACTATTTGAACTTTCGGAAAGCCAAATTTTTTTGAGGATTGGGGTCGTTTGAATGCGGCAGCAGTCCACATACTCTTGAATTCATTTGGACTAGAAGTTAGCTCATCAGTCTCATCAGAAAGAAACTATTTGTCCAAGTCACATCACATAGAACAGGTAAGATATTGACTGCTCACAACCTTACCACAGGACCTCACTATAGAAGAGCTTCACCACCACTTTAAGTTGAATGAAGGTCGAAGAATAAGGACATAAACATGCATGGATACTGGCTGACTGTTGGTCCCAGGAGGAGGTGCAAACCATTAGAGGTTGTCTCCAGGAGTCAAACAAGAACATCCAAAGATCTTGAGAACCATTGGGAGAAAACAGGAGCAGAAATCGATCCAGACGTGGTTAGAAGAAGAGCAGCCCTGAGGAACAAGCCGGCTCTCGACGCCGGGTTTGAACCTCTAATGCCACGAAAAACGTGTGAAAGAAACATTTATTACTACAAGGGTCGAACGAGTCTTTGGACTGGACAGTTTCAGGTTGAGGTTTTGATGTTCCGTTGAGTTCCCGGTGCCATTTCGTGCACAAAGTCCAAAGCTGTCACTTCCTGTTAGCAGAGAACTACTTCCACGATGTAATTTTAGCAGATGAGCTCGGCCTCTTCTCTTTGGGCCGAGTGGATCGTCAGATTCAGGACGAGACGATAATTTTAAACCACAGGCCCCGGTGCACGTTGGTAACGATGAAACTCACTTCACGAGACTCGAGGAGACTAATTTGATGGTTCCGAAGATGAAGGTGATGATGAAGATGGGTTAGGACAGCACAGGGAGGGGGGAGGTCATCGTTTTATCACACAAAGACCAGGAGCCGAGCGCTCCATCCAACCAAGGAGGGGGAAACAGGAAGTGACACTCAGGGAGGGGGCGAACAAGGTCGACTGACCACCATGCACGCACACACCCTCACCCCCCCCAACACACACACACACACACACACTCTTACTGCCCGGAGACAAGTGAAGCCCGACACGAGGACATCTCCGGATCTTCAGAACATGAAGACGTTACGTAAAACCACTGACCCGGTTTATAAAGTACAAACTTTGTTATCCTAAAAAAAACTAATCCAGTTTACAACTAAACATTTTAGCTCTTAGCTAGCCTTGTGCTTCTTTTAGCTCTTAGCTAGCCTTTTGCTTCTTTTAGCTCTTAGCTACCTTTTGCTTTTTTAGCTCTTAGCTAGCCTTTTGCTTTTTTAGCTCTTAGCTAGTATTTGGTTTGTATTTGTGTGACTTTTGGTTCGGCTGTATTTTCTGACCTCCAACTTCTTGTTTGTATGTATTTAAATTATTTCTGATGATGTGGAGGACGTGAGGAAACAACCCCCCCCCCCCCCCCAACGGCTTTAAAACAGCGTTTAAGAGTTTCAGCTGACGTTTTGAGAGCAGCAGGTTAAGTTTGTGACTTTGCCATAAACCATCAAAGACGTTTTGCATAAATCCTGATGTGTGAACTTCACCGACACTCGAGGCGCCGAGCTATAATTAGAAACCTCCCTCACCGAGTCCGCCCGTTACTCTCTTTGTTCTTTATGGCAACGAGGACCGGGGGGAGGGGGGGGGGGGCTCGGTGACGGCAGAGATTATTTAGTTTAATGCTCAGCCATAAATCAAGAGTGAGAGCATCAGCAGAGTCACCCCCTGCCTCCTCTTCATGAGGGGGTCTGAACCCCTCACAGCTGCTCCTCTGCTCCAACAGACCTTTACCCCCTCCCTCTGCAAACTCATGAACCTCCACCTCACGAGTCACTTAATAAGCTACAAGCTGCTCAGTTCCAGAGCCCAACGTCCCACAGAGCAGCAGAACTGAGAGCACGAGCTAGCTGAATGCTAACAGTGAACAATCAAAGGTGGATCAATCAATTAATTAATGAAAGGTGGATCAATCAATCAATAAAATGTAGATCAATCAAGCAATTAAATGTGGATCAATCAATCAATTGAAGGTGGATCAATCAATCAATCAATTAAATGTGGATCAATCAATCAATTAAAGGTGGATAAATCAATTAATCAAAGGTGGATCAAATCAATCAATTAAAAGTGGATCTAATAAAAATCAATCAATCAATGGTGGATCAATCAATCCAAGGTCGATCAAGTCAATTAATCAAAGGTGTATCAATCAATCAATTAAAGGTGGATCAATCAATCAATTAATCAAAGGTCAATCAAATCAATCAATAAAGGTGGATCAATCAATCAGTTATCAA